TTTCATTCCTGGCGCTTTAAACTTTCAAACGACTAATTTAATCTCTGCGGAGTTACCGGGGTTATTTTTACTACGCGATTTTCTATAGGTCGGCGTCTTACATGAATGCAACTATCGCATAACAGCAGAGATGACTGTACACATCAATCACATGAAAGAATCGCAGTCAATCGCGGGGACCAACGAATTGCCGATTGTAAGTGTATAAAATATATTTTTTAAATTCCCTTTATTTTATTTACGTTATTGCAGAGCTTTAAATGTAATGCCATTATATTACTCGTCAATGTTTGGGTGCTAGGAACGCACGTGATTGACTTCCTATTGATTTACATTATAAAAGAGTTTCAATTTACTCCGATTCCGTTTACGCCGGTTCGTCCAGGAACGCATCCCCGGCGTAAATCGAGGGCTACCTGTATATACATCAAAAGTAACGAAAGTTTTATATTCAGTATTTATGCTTTTATAAATGATTTCAGATAATGTAACAATACATTATTACCCCATAAACTAATTCACATGATTGTATTTATAAGTCTTCTGTCGTTAAGACAGCAGGGCTATAACTGGTTTCAGTTTACACCATAGATTCTAATACGTTCTGTCCCTGGTAAAGTATATTTGTCTTCTTGAATCGATTTCTCTATAAATCCTTCCATGAAAATACAGGAATATGACATAAAATATTAAATGAAATCCGTCACAAGAATCCTATTCTACTAGATTCGTTAAAAGTTTACCATAGCAAAAAGGGTTAACAAGATTTGTGTAATATTTGTTTAAATCTTGTCAGTCAAATCACAATAAAATTCCTATTAAATATTAGAATATTACTAAAATTAACATTTAAATATTTAAAATGATGTTCTCTATCGAAATGTTCGATTTACATTAGAACATCACTTTTTACACGACATGTTTCAGTTCTAAAAGAACCATCTTCAGGTGTATAAAATTATATAAACTTAAATATAATTTCTTAAATGCAACTTTTTGTCAGATGTTTATCAGATTTCAAATGATGTTTTCTTCCAGATTTTATTGCATTTTTTGTATTTTTTTTTAAATATCGTATTCGAAGTTGTTCTGTATGTACGTCGTGCTTAACATGATTTTGTGTGGGTGAACGTTTTGTTGTTGTTTTTGTATCATCCAGAAATGAAGTTGTGGAGGAGTTACGTCCGTCTGGAAGTGTTGCCATGTTTGAACTTGAATTTTATTGTGATTTGACTGACAATATTTAAACAAATATATATTTATCACAATATGACGCAACTTTATCATTTCAAGATTTGTGTAACTTAAAAGAATGTAAAAAACAAAGAAAACAAATTAATGCCAGTGTTTCTGTTATAAGCACCTACAAATTTGCTGTTGTAGAACTAGAGAAAGCAATTACTTTTCATTATTATTCGTTAAATATTCACAATACAGAAACATATTTTAGATAAATGTTGGAAATCTCGGTGACATCAATACTTTATTTTATTACGACAAGTCTCATCGGCGAAAATCGCTAACCTCGATTCGGGCTTCCTGTACAGAGTGATTTTTATACTTTCTGATATGAAATTCGCTTGGAAAGTTTTACTGAGAAACGAATTCCAAATTTATTATTCTATCACAACCCCCCTCTTATACATTCTTTATACACACTGTATCAAAAAACGCATGATAGCTGTACTTCATTGATGGTATGTGCACAACGCCCTAAGGCTGGATACAAACAGTTAATAGCAAGGGATTTTGCTCCCCTACATATTTGGTTCGGAGCAGCAGTCCTTGTTGGGACATAAAGCCACAGCACTCCCCTTCTATCCAGAAGCTAACGATCTACGTCTGGAGATAAACAGAATCCCAGTATGGCTCCGCCCACAAAAATTATACAGTCACTTCCGTTAAAAATATCGCCATCCAATAAACAAACTTCACATATCCAATCTGATGTTAACCAAAGAAATTTCAGTAGAAATAGCCCATATGAAAAACTCAGTGTGTTCAGCCGAACGGTTACTGGACCAGTCAAACTTTCTGCGCAAAACATGTTGTAACCTTCTGAAAAATTTTGTTTCATAACATTTTAAATACTTCAGAACGTTTAGGCCAAGTAAGTTAAAACAGGAGTAATGTGTTAAGCTTGTACTCTGGAGCTACGTACAACAGGTCAGATATTGAACAAACCACCCGCTATTATGGCTAAAGTATTCGTGATTTTCCTCTGTCCTTCCAAGCGATTGCTTAGACGCATACGTTTTGTCAGCGACATTACTGTTCATTTCACTATGAATGGCAGTAAGTACTTCCGAAACGACTGTTAATTTCTATGAAACAAACCGCGCAACCTCCCATAAGCCAGTAATCTTCACGAGAGAACCAGAAATTGTATCGAGTTTTCCCAACGCCCGCAAGAACTCATTACGGGGTATGATCTCATTCAATAAGTAGAATATTATTAAAGCAATCACTAAGATTACGCTCATACGGGTTCATTAATGAACTGTAGGAGAATTTGGATTAAATATATCCTCAATAAGTACGATAGGAGGGCGTGGATTGGATTCATCTGGCTCAGCATTCGGGGTTTCTTGTAAACACGATGGTGAACATAGGGTGATGAATATTTTAAATAGCTGAGCTCCTTTTAATTAGCTTCTCAAGAAGAACTTTGTTTCATGGAATGCGTTATTGACCATAACTACGCATAACAGACTCCTGAAAAAATTAAGAATTTCTGAAACGTCCGACTGACAGCAGCTAATTCCACAAGTAAATGAAAGAACTGCAAAGAGACATGAATGTAGTGTGACAGGACTCATCAAACTCTGTAAGATGTTAGCCTTTTTGTAAGCTGACCACGTAGCGACAATACGACGTCCAAGTGTCCTGAGTTGAAGGATAAATGACAAAAAATTTGGGCTTAAATCCAGAAGTAAAGCGATACCCATGAAAAACACAACATGTCTCTTGAGATATTTGAGACGTCAAAATGCCTTTGTCTGAAAAGTAAATCTATTCAGCTATACGCCATGGAGGAGCCTGAGGGAAGAGGCTTCATAGCTCCTACTCGTTCTTGACCTCGACACTAGATGATGGTGAGAGGTCAGTGTCACGCCCCGGCCGCGCTTTACCTCTGAGGAAGAAACACCCGTATCCACAAAAGCGGCAGCTTTTCTGAATACACTACAATCATGTGAAGTACGTATATTAAAAAGTTCCAAATGCAGCATCAACAAGTTTTGCCTCACACTGTACTACACAGGCCTACGCGAACATGAAGATGGCAGTCTTCTGCGGTGTAGGACCGTGTAGTATGACAGAAGCTTCCCAACGTTTCAGAGGTCCAAGCTGAAGATTACCATCTTCATACTCCCAGCCGTGAGAACCTCAAATCCTACTTACGCGAACACAGTCTCCAATGTCGTTGCATCTACCTTTGCTACTTCATATCTTGGGCACAGATACATAAATAAATAAAAAATTTCCCTCGATACTAGATGGAGGTTAGTCGAGCTTGAAGCCTGACGTCATCCTGTGTTATTCGCTTCAAATGCAACCGTTTGAAGACAAAGGATGAATCGGTTCTGCGAGGGGCGGGGTAAAACTGTCGGAGCGTGAAACTACACCTCCAGCTGTCAAAACGCCTTCAGAATGTGGCGCCTAAATTTCATCGTTACCTTTCACAGTTTCTCTGTTCGGTAGAGTGAAGGGGTTGAAATCTGTTGGTATTGTGTAAGTGTTAGGGTTGTTGATTAAAACTAATTTCTGTCAGTGCAGATACTTAATATTCTGCTTGTATAGTCAGCGCAGTAGTTTTTGGCCGGTGGAGAAGCTGGCGGAGCTGGCGGACGGGCCTAGTCTGTCTACGTGAGGTGGCACGGCCAGCGTATTTCTTTTGTTTGGGCGTTCAGTCCGATAAGCTCCTCGGTGCAGTCAGCATTATACTATAGCTCCTAGCCTTCCCCTTGAAAATTCCACCTGCCAAAAACTACTGTGCCGACTATAATGACCATTTTCAAGTATTTGAACACGGATTACCAGTATTCATGCTTCAGACATGCGCAACTAAAACTATTCATAAGTTCAACATATCTTCCCGTACTGTAAATAAGAATTCTGGTGGGAGCCTATTAAAGAGACGCATGCTAGGAACATTTCTGACCAGTTCTGTAGAGTAATTCCTACATAATTCAGGGATTATGCAATTATTGCAAAACACAAACTATCTGTTTCTGCTGTTGTATGGATTACCATATTACTGCAAGTCTTACCTGAGTTAGGAATAGCATATGTGTATAAACTTACACACTGACTCTCTCTCTCTCTTGTATTTCATGTGCGCATTTACGGGAATGGAGGGATAACTATGAGGAAATTTAAAGAAGCCAGTTGGTACCAAGGGAGGCACGTGACGCTATTTCTGTCTTCAGCAACAACTTACACGAGCTGTCGCACACGAGGCCTCTCAATACATCATGGACCACTTCCAGCATACCAGAGGGTCATTCGTGGGAACACGCCTCACCCTCCGCATCTGGCATTCCTCCTCTGCACCCGAGACGCCGATCCGACTGCAGTTGCAATAATCTTTCACTCTGGTCGAATCTTTGGAAGTAAACCACGTTTCAACTGTAAAGGCAATAAAATATCCTCAATTGAATGGGAAGGTTAACAGGAATGGTGAGTACGTGAGAATTTAGAAGGAACGGGGGTATATTTAAAGATATTATCTCGATATTTTTCTACAGAGACGAGCAAAACCACAAAGTAAGATCTGAGGTTTTCACGGCGGTGATTTTGAAGATTGCTGTCTTCTGGGTTGTTGCGCCGTGTAGTCTGGTAGAAGTTTACCGACGTTTTAGAGGTCCTTGGTAGCAGTGAATTTCTACCAGACGACCTGGCGCAACAACCCAGAAGACAGCCATCTTCAAAACCACAAAGCTCTTTCAGTAATGTCGCTGGTAACTCGGCAGAGATTCGAACCGGATAATTCACGAATACCGCAGAACCAACCTGCATAGAGACACAAAGTCCAGAGGTGCATTTTTAGCGATACTTCTGTTACATAAACTTCACCCAAATTCATTTTCACCTTGTTGGACTTGTATCTCGCCGGAGAGCAACGACCACGCTACATATGTCGTTGCTTCCATATGCAGCTGGCCTGCGTATGGTTGAGAACGTGTAGTTATCACCACAGGATGATTCACGCCTACTGTATAGCATTAAATGTACATCATGCCGCGTCCTTCCTCTACATGCGCAATAATAGCGGACCTCGTCGGTTTTGTTGCTGATTAGGTTGAACGAATGGGGCACTAGTACCATACCTTGATGTCAAAGGGCATCCTACGCAACTAATATTAACAAAGACGAAGGGCGCAGAAACTAGCGACTAAACTAAATAGGGCTGATGTAGGTTTCAGTTAAAGAAAGAGCCAGGTTGTCATAGTCACTGGATACTGGCTGGACATGTTTCGATTTTCGGCAGGGATACGAAATGACGTCACACCACGTCCAAACCTGTTCTGGGACCCAACCAGCCATCGAAGTTTCATGAAGTCTCTTGGAGGCAAACACTTGGCGTGTCAAGCTATGGTCTTTCATCCAGCACAGAAACAACTTTGTTTGCATTTATACTCAGAACACTGTTCGAGAATCGTTGCTTTATAAAAGTTGTTACTTTGTCTAGCCATTTCTCTGCATCATTCCAAGTACAAGGGTGGAAAGAAGTGTTCCTACTCCTAATACGTGTGTTTTCCAAACATGTGATTTCGTATATTTTTGCCTTGATGATCATTTATTGCAGGTATAAATATGTTAGTACAACGTTAAACAACACTACAGATAACATAAGAATAATAAATTCTATTAAAAGTAAGCTGTTCCTGCTACGAAAGGACAAGGTCACTAAACACCTATGGCAGGGAAGTTTGATATGCCCACTGCGCTCCTTTCACTCTGTCATTGTTGGTAGAATGAGAGTATCTCGATCACGGTAAATCAGAATTCGAGTTTTCGTTTGCTTATGCTGCCATCTTATAGCAAATGCGTTTGTGCTAGTTTGGTTATAACTGCTATGTTTGTAACAAATACAATTAACAGGCCTCCTCAGAAGGAAAATTATTGAGGGTATAATTTTACACAAGAGATTAGTCCTACGGCAAAAGAAAACAATCAGATTATAGAATGACTAAATCCACTATTGGAAAAGGCTCTGTTCAGCAATGCTATGTAATCTTTGACTACCCTACCCAGCAACCAAATTTAATAAACATGTTTAATTGAAGACACAGTGTTTTGGTAAAATGCACGAATATTAATAAAAACTACTATATTATTATTTGTCTTGGTGACTTATGACTAGCTGTATTCTAGAACGAACATGTTCCAACCATAACCAGTAAAACTTGCTTGGAGCAGGAAATTAATAACACATGACTTCTGCGCATTTCAAATGTGTGACTGTGTATGCATCAGATGGTAAGTAACGAATGAGGTAGAATAAATTGTATCTCACTCTTAAAATTATGAGCGCTTGTAATTCAAGTGTGTCTGATGTTCTGTGTGGGGCAGAAAATTTCATTTTAAGAAACATTTCCGTTATATACATCTCGATCAGCCATCTGGGGTGTGGGGGAAAGAAAGGTATTAGTTTCCTTTTGTGTCAAGAAAACATGACGACATAAGATGATTACCTTAGTATTCAGTTGATTTATATGAGTTACAGTTTGTTTCCAAGACGGTGAATTAACAGATTGAGTCTAGCGGTGAGGCTTGTGTTGTTTTATGATGTGTTCCTTGAAGGATTTGCATGAAATAAAATCACACTACTTTACCCCGCCACGAGATGGCAGTAACTGGTGGATGCAACGGTGATCAGAGTTTTGTACGTCCACCATCAGAGGGATTAGGTCACAGTTCTTATGGACGACACCAGATGGCAGTAACTGGTTGACCCCCGCGGTAAATTCGCAACTAGTGACTCCGTTTTCAGAGCAATGAGTTCACAATTCTTGTACCATGAAGCTAGTTTGTGTTTGTTGTCGTGGTTTCTAATCTCTAAAATAACATATCACGAGCCCGTTGGGTAGATTTTAACCATGGTATGGGGATCGTATAACTGAGAGTAGTCCACCAGGGCAACCACCTGATTTGATTCTGTAAACCTCGTCTGAAATGCATAGGCCTGTGTAAATGATACATGGATGAGAACCAGTTCACTTCACACAATAAAGATTCATAAGATCAGTATAATTCAGCACTGCTAACAAAACTCGTTCGTCCGTTTGTTATCGAACGTATTTAGAATTTCTCGTTTGGGGTAATATAAACATCAATTATATTCCTTTAACTGTAAAATAAGGAGGAGTATCTTTCAAATGGTATAATTCTGTAAATATGAGTTACGATGTTTACGTCTTTATGCATACGGTCTATTTTAAGGTTCCCACGTTATGTTTTGAATCTTCTCTTCATGCTAGTGGTGTTTTATCAAGAACCCCAATCATAATTGCTACACAGAATACCAAATAAATGGCGTCATCCAAGTAAACATACACATGAACATTCTAAATCGTTATAATGTAAAGCCTTGTAAGAGGTCATCCATAAACGTCTGTGAGGGAGGCATCACTCCCATTTTATTCTATCCTGAGGATGGAAGGGATACTTTACCCCAAAATATAACCACACGGCGACGTAGCAGTGGAAGACACCCATTGGTGATTAGTAATTTTGAGAACTCTTAACCTTAGATACACAAAACAATATCTAGCAATCTCATGGCAAAGTTAACTTTGTACACATATGAAATTACTATCACTGCAGATTCTGACTTGCCAAAAAATAGATCAACTGCTACTTACATCTTCTGTATGTGGCAAACAGAGAAACAACTGTAGTACAATCATACACTGTATCAGTCAAAGATTTATTTAGTTCAGAGATAAGTGTTGTAAATTTCAAGTGTAATTTGGTACCCCAGAAATGTTAAAATGTTTGAATGACACCCACACTTAAGTAGGTTTTTGAGGTTTTCATTAATGTGAGTTAAGACAGTGGTCATCTGGGTTACTGTTGTGCAATGTAATCTTTTGCCTCTGTATACCAACTTCTAAGACGAATACACTCCATATTCTGAGCTGAAGTGATTGATAACAAGGGTTGAGCATCAGGCTAGAAACACTGGCCAATCAGAGCCAAGGAAGAGGAAGGATAGACAAACTTGAGTTCAGTCCAATAGAAGCAATGATGCACCCTCTGAAGGGCATCAAAAAGGAAGGTTGAATGAATAAGAAAAGAAGGAAAAGTCAGTCTTTTCAGGTCCACCAAGCAAAGGCTGAGTCAACTGAAAGAGGAAAAAGGGAATCTTTTAGGCCCTATCAGGACAAGGACACCAGGTCAAGAGAAAATGTTTGTCTCCTTGCTAGACAGAACTATCTTCCATTGTAGGACTTAGTTTTAACAGCAGTCTTCTGGGTTGTTATGCCATGGTAAATTTCTACCAGATTACACAGTGCAACAACCCAGAAGACATCCATCTATCTTACATTCTTTCAGGGTATGAATAAGAGGCTTCCTCTCTGTTTATGTTAAAAATTTATATTCTCTCACAGTGCATTTCCTGTAAAATTTTCTGTCCTTAATATCATTCCAACCACTGAAACTGAGGTGAAAAGTGTGATACAGTCCCTCAAGTCAAAAAACTCATCAGGTTATGATGAAATAACAAGTAAAATTTTGAAAGCTTGTTCAGCTTTAATTAGTCATCCATTAACCCACATGTGTAATCACTCATTATACACAGGCATTTTCCCGGACCGCCTTAAAATTTCAGTAGTACGACCGCTGTACAAGGGGACAAAACCAGTATGACAAATTACAGGCCAATTTCACTTTTAACTACTTTTTCTAAAGTGCTTGAGATGATTATGAACAAAAGATTAAGTCATCATATGCATGCTAACAACATATTAGTCCCGGAACAATTTGGCTTCAGGAAAGGTGTATCCACTGAAGATGCAGCTTTCAAACTAACAGACAATGTGCTAAAATCTGTTAACCAAAAAATGCATGTTGGAGGAATTTTCTGTGATTTAGCAAAAGCTTTTGACTGTGTAAATCATGAAATTTTGTTGGATAAATTGCATTTTTATGGCATTCAAGGAATAGCAGCGCAATGGTTCAGATCCTATTTAACAGATA